TGCTGGGGAAAGACGGCGAGAGAAGAAAGCACAAGGATGAAGTTTATTGTTTGGCCCTGCAGTCTGGGACAGAACAGTCAAACCCCGATGTTAGATGCATCCACTTCAACAACAAACTGCTTGCTTGAGTCCAGCTGGATGAGAATGGGGGCAGAAGTGAACAGGGACTTGAGTTGAAGAAAGGCATTGTTAGCATCAGTGGTCCAGGAAAACTTAACTTTGATGGAAGTGAGACTGGAGCTGCTACCTTGCTATAGTTCTTGATGAACCGGCGATAGAAGTTGGCAAATCCCAGGAACCTCTGCAACTCTCTCCGAGTAGTGGGGACTGGCCACTCAGTGACAGCTAGAATCTTTCCTGGATCTGCCTCCAACTTGACCTGCCTGATGATGTATCCAAGGAAACTGACCCGTTCCTGGTGAAACTCACACTTCTCAGCTTTGACGAACAATTTGTTCTCAAGCAGCCTCTGTAGAACCTGACTAACGTGGTTCTGGTGTTCCTCCAGGCTTTTGGAAAAGATCAAAATGTCGTCAATGTATACAAAAACGAACCGGTTGAGGAAATCTCGCAGGACATCATTCACAAGGGCCTGGAAAACAGCTGGGGCATTAGAGAGTCCAAAGGGCATGACAAGATATTCAAAGTGACCAAGGGGGGTGTTAAAGGCTGTCTTCCACTCATCTCCTTGGCGAATTCGAACCAGGTGGTATGCATTTCTGAGGTCGAGTTTAGAGAAGATAGTGGCACCTTGGAGAGGCTCAAAAGCTGAGTTTATCAGGGGAAGTGGGTACTTGTTTTTAACTGTGATGTTATTCAACCCACGAAAGTCAATACAGGGTGGGAGTGATTTATCCTTCTTGTCCACGAAGAAAAACCCTGCACCCAGCGGGGAGGAAGAAGGACGAATAATACCTGAAGCAAGGGATTCACCGATGTATTTCTCCATGGCCTCTCTCTCTGGCCGGGACAGACTATAGAGTCGGCTGGTTGGTAAAGGAGCCCCAGGAAGTAGATCGATGGGACAATCATAGGGACGATGATGTGGGAGAGAGAGAGCTTTATCCCTGTTGAAGGCCCCACTCAGGTTGTGGTAAATGTCAGGAACACCAGATAAGTCAACATCAGCTGAGACACATGGAGCAGGCATAGGGTGAACAGAGACGGGAGGCACAGCAGACTGTAAACAGTTAAGGTGGCACAACTGATTCCATTCAATGATTCTTCCTCCAGCCCAATCAATATGCGGATTGTGGGTGCGAAGCCAAGGGTAACCAAGAACCAAAGGGGTAGCAGGGGCGGAAAGTTGAATTACTTCTCTGTGATTTCCAGAAATAATCAAGGTTACAGGTTGTGTCTGCTGTGTGACTCTAGAAATGCTTTGACCATTTAGGGCATAAGCAGTCATAGGATCCAGTAAGGTTTCCAACTTGAGACCCAGCTGGTTGGCTAGTTCCAGGTCCACAAAACTGTCCTCTGCTCCAGAGTCAATGAGGGCAGAGAGTGACAAGGTCTGAGTGTTAGCACAAAGTCTGGCAGGAATGAGAAAACGGCGCAAGGTTGGGGCTACAATTGGTGTTGGATGTGGACTCGTCAGGACCCCCACATTTACTGACGAGCCCCTGCGTTTGGGCGGACAGGACAAACAGCAAGGAAATGCCCCAATTTCCCACAATACAGTGCACTCTCCAGACGTCGAAGGCGCTCCTCAGGAGATAGTCCGGCGCATAGTCCGGCGCAGTCCCAACTGCATTGCTTCCTCCTTAGCAAAGGTGGGCATGCGAGGTGGCGAGGTGAAGCCAGACGGTCTGGATACAGAGGGAGCATAATTGGGTGAGTTGTTTAACTTACTAGGCAGAGAAAAAGGAGAACGCAGCGTTCGCTCCGCACGGCGTTCCCGTAGCCGGCTGTCGAGACGAGACACCAAGGAGATTAAGGATTGGAGGCCAGCAGGCTCATCTCTTGCAGCCAGCTCATCCTTCAGTTGATCCTTCAACCCCTTAACAAACACTGCCCTTAGAGTCGCCTCGTCCCATCGGGCCTCTGCCGCCAGTGTTCGAAACTCGATAGAGTAATCTGCAACGGTACGAGTCCCCTGTTGCAAATTTAGCAGACGATTTGCAGCTGAGCCAGAGTAGTCGGGGTGATCAAAAACAGTGGACAAATGTTCAGAAAAAACTCCAAAGGAAAGGGTGTCGTAATCCACAGATGAACTCAATGCTTCGGCCCAGGTTAGTGCTTTGCCACGAAGCAAACCCAACACATAGTTAATTTTAGTCACATCGGAAGAAAAGGACAAGGGGCGCTGGCGAAATACCTTGTTGCATTGAAAAATAAATCCTCTGCATTTCTCCACCTCTCTGTGGAAAGGCTCTGGGTCGGTGATGGGAAAATCCCGACATGGAGTGGATTCCTGAAGGAGATTGGAGGGTGCAGGAATTGCAGCAGAAGACGTCAGGGTTGAAATCTGGGCTGCAAGATTCGTGATGTGATGTTCCATGGACTGATTGCTGTCAACTAAAGCTCGGATTAGCTGCTCATGTTGACCCAGAAGGTTTCCCTGATGAGACAGGGCGTGCTGAACAGCGGAGGAATCCGGTCCAGTGTCAGAGGGGTTCATATTGACCAGTTCGTACTGTTACGCTCTCCGAGAGCTTACAGGTGTGAACCCACAATTCTGAACACTATTGAGAGGAGACTGAAGTTTAAGAAACAAAAGGCTTTATTTCCAAAACCGGTGATGCTGAACAGCTGAGGGAATTGATATTCACAATGTCCAGGGTCAGGGAGTATCTCCGGAGGCGGAGCGGAGGTCCGAAGCCATGGATCCAGTTTGCGAGTGCGAGCAGGCTGGAGCAGGTGTGCGGAGATGCACGGAGGAACACAGGCGAGGTATTACAGGAACACTGAGATAGGTTTCGCTAAGAGCTAAATACCAAGACGTATTACCACTGTGGTGAGACGACGAACTGGTGAATACTGGATGACGAAAACCGGGTATATAAGCAGGTGTAGGTGAGTAGTTGAATCAGAGTGACGAGCAACAGCTGAGGAAGTGAGTTGGCGGGAATCGAAAGTAGGTCAGCCACACCCAGCCAGGAAGACAGACAGACAACAACAAACACAAAAAAAGGGAAAAGAAGGAAGATCCTCACACTATGTTTTTTTTTGTGTTTTTCTTTTCCTAATTATTTCTTGTTGGCTGTTATGTTTGTCAACACTGAGGACACATCTAGGACCATGGAATGGGTCCAACACTTTCATGTTGTCTAATCGTCCAGCATCCAGGGACCACTAAGGACTTCAGGATGTTAGTCTTATAATAAAATATCATATTTCAGACCTCAGATACTTTTTATTCTTTGGTTCCTTTACCAGGAATATATGATGGTGCCTTAAGCCCAGAGAGCATACTGTCTACAGATGTAAATCACAGAGCCTCGGCACTCTGGAGGATATTTCATGTTTCAACATGCTGGAGTAACCAGAGAGAGAGGTGTGGAGATGCATGTGTGATATACTGTAGAAGCCAGGAGGGAGTTAGGGTCTGCGTCCACATAGAGCCTTTTTCTGACCCTAGCACTTTTGAAATTGATTTTGGCTGATTATTTCATAGAGAAAACTAACATACCAGACAAAAAAGTAATTTTTTAAAAGCAGATCAGTCGGATGAACACAGAATGTTGCTACCTTTGACTGTTTTACATGTTTTGGCGTACTAGGATCATCCTCCTCGATCTACGGCTGTCTACACATTTGCAGTTGTGGACCGTAATCACTGGAATGATTTCCTCTGCATGTTGGCTGCCTCTGTTTTTTTTTTCTCTGGCTTTCAACTCACTATGAGAGCTGCTTTATATATTATTGTCTTCTGTCTTCTTAATATGTAATTTGAGTTTTCACTGAGTTTTTTTTTCCAATGGTTGTTATTGTAATATGGCAGAATCCTTCACGGACGCACGCACGCACGCACGTACACACACACACACACACACACACACACACACACACACACACACACGCACACGCACACACACACACACACACACCATCCATCAACTGCTCAGCTTGTAAATGACACAGTTCTGGAAAAAAAGAGTAAAAGTGACCCCTGTAGGAACAACATAAGCATTACAACAGAGACATCCCATAACCACCCATTATCACATTTACCACCAGGAGAGGAAGGGAGATTTTATATAAATGAAAACTCAAAATATATATATTTTGATTTTTTTACATTTATGAACAACAATTCATATTTTTGTGGGCGTTGAACTATTTTGAAATTACCAACTAGTATCTCCAGATTTCTGAAACCCAGTCCAGCTGGAACACAACAACCCTATATCTCGATTTGTCCTCCACTCAATAACTGTTTGATGAACATGTATGCTCTTCTCAGGATGAATTGCAATAACTTTAGGGATCCTAACATGTCATCTAGCGCCATCATCAGGTCAGCATTAAAATATGTCTAATAATTTTGTTTATGATCAAATACCTGAAGAACTGATGAGATTCCAAAAGCCTCAGCTCAACTCTGTGTTTACCCTTAATTGGCTCTTTTTTTTTAGCATGCTAACGTGCTAAACTGAGATTTTTCTGAGACTAAATGCTCCAGAGCTCAGAGTCTTGGCAGCACAGATGACTGAGGTTAGCTAACAGATAAATAACTGACTGAACTTACGTTAGCGGTTAGTGTTACTTGAGCTACAAGCTTTCACAAGATCCTTCATGCTTCTCCTATTCAAACCCACTATAGCTGCACTAGATACAATATGAGGTACAGTGAGATATCACGCTATCAAAGCATGAACAGCTATACAATATATGGAACAAGATAAATATATAATTAAACAAGACAATCCCCCAAGAAACACTGAGCGATCCTGGGAAATGGTTCGGGTAGTGTTGTGTAGTGATGATAATGATGGTGATGTACAGCATATATGATGAGAACCATCAGCTGGTAAATAATGAAAATCATGGCAACTTACTCGTACACAGCAGAGCAGCAAAGGCATCAATGGCTGCCCTGAAAAAAAAGAGGGAGCAGTTAGTCTCTCAGACAACGAATTAACAAACGCTTTAACACCCTAACCCTAATTTTTTATTTTCTGTGTGAATTTGCTCTTACAGCACAACAGTATATTATTGGACACAATACAAAAACACAGTCTTCTCCATAATATATCAAATGTATAAACTGCTGAAAGAACATCACATCATTTTATAACTCTATCCCTTGTCATAGAAAAGTCAGCATCTAGTTTGAGACTTTAATTAGGGACGTTATTTAGTCATGGTACAGTAAGTTAGGTTATATGTGATTTGGAATGACTTTTTTTTTAATCTTTTCCCCAGTACCATTCTCTCTGTCTTTTTTGTCGTTTAATATCATATTCCTCTCCTCCTCCATCCTGTCATCTCTATACTGTGTTTCTTCTCTCTTACATGCTTTGTGTGGTGGAGCTTTGGCAAGTATAGAAGCTGTTTTGGTGTTGGTATTGTTCAGAGACATTTAGTTCTACTCTGCCTGACAGCAGACACGTGCATGTTGTACATGTGTACTGAGAAGAAGAATGTATCTCTGTGCAGTGTAGAGTTTCTAGCAGCAAGTAAACCTGGGTGTTACTCACAGGGGGGCCAGGACCTCAGGGTTTGTGCTATGTTTACTGAGGATGGGAAATACTACACTTCTTCAAAGGGACAGCTACGACTGTGTTACTGTGATTATGTATGTGCTATGGAAGAGATTAATAGTAATTGATAGTCCTCCAAATGTCCAAGTATTCACAAACAGTATTATGAGCTGACTTAATTCGTATTTATCTGAACCGTCTCAATTTGTATGTGTTTACGATTGGTCATGGAGTGCAACAAGTTTCTGTACTTGGACATTTTCTGATCACCATCCGTTAGGCAATATTATAAGGAACTACTCTTTTAACTTTCTTTGTTATGCAGATAATACTCAATTATAGCTATCAATCAAGCCACTAGAAACTAATCAATTAATACAAAATGCAAGACTGCCTCAAGAATATACACTTATTTGATCTGCAACATTTAATGTTAAACACGAACAAAGCTTAAGTCAGTGTACTTGGCCTCAAGTCAAGTCAACCGATCTGAAATATGCAAATAAGAAAAGAAAACTTTTCCTGAAATGTAATTTCTATGTTTGCATTTTATATTTATTTGAGTCACAAGTGCTAAGGATGCTGGTGCTCCTAAAGATGTGTTCCTGAAGCCAAACTCTTGAAAACAGATAGTCAATCAGAATGTACCAGATTACATTGGCAACATTTTGTTGTGCTTTTGTTTCAGCTCACTGCTGAAAGACTTACGGTCCTGTTTTGTTCAATTTGTGGTGTAGTTGTTAATGTTTGTCTTTAAGTTGGCCCTTTGTTCCAAAAATGGTTTCATCATAAGTATATATTCTCCCCTTTGTCTTCAGTTTGTAAGGTTGAAGTGAATAGGTGAAAGAGAAAAGAGAATGGCATGTTTAAGTCCCAGATCTGTCCGTTTACATGTTTTAATCAGGTTTTGCATTTCATTAACCCTCTTGTCAATTCATATACTGCCCTTGCAATCAGCTCATTCCTCTCACTTGGGTCCCTCAGCCCATCCCCCCACCTGCTATACCTAATTAACCCCACAGCATATCTACCAGTTCACTCTCAATTGATTGCATTTGATCGTATTGAACATGAAGCTCTCCAGAGTTTTACTTAGTTATTAGTCTGTTTATCTGCGCTGGCCATTACTGACCCCCCCTGTCATTTTGGACCCTGATTAGTGTGCATGCCCTTTGAAATTTGGGAAATAGACAATCTATCAAACAGACAATGTTTGACAGATTTCCCAGTTTTGAAGCTGCCTGCATGACTAAAGTAAACTGAACTTCCTGAATGTTCTGCCTGCTTCTGTGTCATTTTCTTGGTTTTCAGTGTCTGTACCAGTGCGCTTTATCCATGAATTTCAAAATCGGATAATTTATTTCAAAATATTGGTAAGAGGATCAAAAAGAATTGACTGATCAGTGGCGAGCCGTCAGGGCGCTCTAGGCCCTTTGTGAGGGCCTAAGATATTCAAAAAAATTATATTTAAAAACATGAAAAAAAAAAAAACGATTTTTAAAATATTTTTTTTAATATTTTTTTGTTGTTACATTTTTCATTAGTTTTCCCAAAATAACTTGATTTAATTGTATTTAAAAATAATATTTCCAAACAAATAAATCCTTTGAATCTGCCTGTTCAGTTTCTGTTGGAATGTGAAGGGTTAAATGCCGTCTCTGCGAGTTACTGTGAAGACGAGTACATTCACAGAGGGCCAGCTATAGTAACTCAACGAGAGAGTAATGTCAAATGACAGTACAATTGACCAATCACATCTTCCCTCTAAATGGGCGGGCTTTATTTTCGTGGACTTTATGACAAGTTCCGCCCGCTGTGAGGTCTATGCAAGTGGTGCAGTGACGCATCCTAAAACCCGGAAGTAAGCTGCGCTCGGATTCACTCGACAAAAAAGCAATGGGATTTCTCCATAGGGTTTTGGAAAATAGCTTGAAATAAGGTCTGTGGAAAACGAACCTGTTAGATAAATGCACGTTTTGTTCAGCCGGATAATATCCACATGTCTACCCTACTTTTATTATTTTCGAATCATAAATCTAATCGATAGATTTATGATCGATAGATTTATAATTAGCATAAGTTTGTTCATGATGGCTCACTTCAGTGATAGTGATGACATTGTTGCGAAATTATTAACCGAGTCAGACTCATTTTCAAGATTGAGTTACAATGATAAACTGGAGTGGCAAAAGATCAGCTGCATGAGCCCGCCATCAAGTGCTTCATCCAAAAAATATTTGTCCTTGTATGATGTGAGGGTCTAAGGACAGAGGGTGTCGCATTGTCATACTGATATTCTGTACAAACTGTGAAGACCACTGAGACAAATGTAACATTTGTGATATTGAGCTATATAAATAAACATTGATTGATTGATTGATCCAAAAGGACAGGAGGATGGACTTTGTGTTTCAGTGATTTGATCATCAAAGGTAGGCCTAAGTCATTTTCAATGCGGGCCGCCGTGCCGACTTAATTCATTTGTAATTGTTACTTGGCTGTGGGTGCCCTGTCATGAGAGGTGTTTATATAAATGGTGTTGTTTTGTGTGGTAGAGGGTCGCTGTCATTGATGCGTTTTGCACCTCGGGCCGCGGTTTTGATATTCCGCTGAAGTATACGCTGTGACGTAATATCTCTTCTTTTTTTTTTATCGAGGGAAGGGGGGTCAGAGGGCCTAGGTATAAAAGTCACGGCTCGCCACTGTGACTGATAGAATATCAAGGAAGTCAACAAGGAAAGATTTCAAAACCAGAAAACCTCGGACCTTTAACAAAATTAAACCTTAGACCTCCACATCCCCTGCATGCATTACAAGTTATTTGTGATTTAAAACCTCTCAATCAAAGAGAAATAGCTCCTTTGCAATCTGCAGTAGCTCCAACCTGCAACAATGTAAAGAGGATAGTAAGAAGTGCTGAGGTGCCTTGCAGTCTAACAGATGGGACTGAGGGATTAAGTGCTGTTGACAGTTGAGAATGGATGGACAGGTTTAGCTGTACAGCTGACTGACTTACTTTACTGCTTTAAAAGTGTGCACAGCAGCCAACCGACATATCTGACGGTCGCCATATCATAGCTATAATTGGATAAATCATTGTGACAGGCATGTTTAACTGCCCCTCACACTGAAGGGAAATGGCATATCTACTGCCTTGTTTCTCTTATTACATCACTGGATATCACAGTTGCCAATTCTAGCAAATTATCCAAAGTAGCAGCTGGCTTTGATATCTGGAATCTCCGAGTTTTTCTAATTGTGTTAGGACAATTAACAGCTGGATTCTGTATGAAAATGATACAGAAAACTCACACTGAGGGCTATAAATGTGTAATGTCAAAGCATCCGATTCCCTCACACCAGCAGGGGAGTTTCATGTTCACTATGGCTGATCAGGTGCTGGTATGCCTGGCATGAAGCCGGACGGAGAGGCCAGTACTTCTGGTGCTCTTGGCATGCTCCACTTGGTATACTGGAAGATGCAGGCTATTTGAGCCAAATGCCATCAGTTCTGACAGAGACAGATGGGCAGAAGACACACGATCCAAGAGGAGAAAGGATGGTGGCTTACATAAGAGTCAGAGTCTATGCATGAGTTGGGAGAAATTATGATATGTTGATCTTGTTTCCCTGTAAACTGTAATTTAGCTTCAATTAAGCAGACAGTGACCAAGACTTTCATAGTGCCATACCATTAAGCTAAAAGTAGTTTGATATGATACTAGTGGCGTCTATGGTCCCGTCTATGAAAAAAACATCGGGATGGAAATGTGGTTCGAGCCTCAGTGGAGCTAAACATTTCTTGTTTGTATGAATTGTCCACTATGCCAGCCGATTGTACTGCAAACTACCCAAAACATGTTTATGTTTCTGCCATTTTATTGGATTATTTGATTTATGTTTTGTTGCGATGAAACGCTGGCCTGACATAGTCCTGGACTAAAGCTAGGAAGCAAAAATTCAGACTCTTCTCTCTGGGGACAATGAAATAAAGAGGGTCAGGGTTAGGTTAAGGGTTAGCCAATCGTCAACCATCTTTTGTCAACTATTCTCCCAAGCTGTGGAACACCCTACTAGGAAATATTAGAGAGGCAAACTCAGTCGACATTTCTAAATATCAACTAAAAACATTCTTTTTTTAGAATAGCTTTTAATAAGCGACTTCCCCCTTTAATTGGCTTTTCTATCTTGTTTTGTGTCTATCTTGTGCTGTATGCCTTGTTTTTAAAACACTTTGAGCTGATTCTGTGGATGAAAAGTGCTTTACGAATAAAGGTTTATTTTGATCATAACACAAAATGCAGTTAAAACACAGAGAAAAACATCTTGGTTTTTTTCTTGGTGGTGGACTTTTGTGTAGTGAAGCTTGATGAGAATAACATAATTCAGACAACATTGATAAATGATCAGATGTCAGACTCGTGTCAATTTACACTAAAAGTGAACTTCCTGTAGCAAGAAGAACTTCCTGTAGAAAGCAGCCAGGGTTGCCAACTCTCACGCATCTGGCGTGTGACACACGCTTTCACTCTCAATCTCACGCTCTCACGCTGCCCAAACTATTCTCACGCCAAAAACAAGATGAACCGGCGATCGTTTTTGGTTGGTTATTTACAATGTTGAGTTGACAGCTGCTCAGGGACGGATCTACCGGGGTGGCATGGGGTGGCAACTGCCACCCTAAACAATAGCCTTGCCACCCCTGCTGCCACCCCAGTTGGCATCTTTGTTTTGAAAGAAAAGTTCTGGCTCATCGGACATTTATGAGAGAAAATCACTAATGTCCAAGTGCAAGTGAATGCTGCACAAGACGCGAGTCTTGTAACCCCTCCCCCCGGCCCTGGTGAGAGCTTGGAAATATGATTGGCGGCGATTTCATTTGAACGGGGGGACAGCGCTAAACGAGAAGTATTCAGACCCAAGTATGCTTGGGTCCATTTTATGCTATTGAGTGCGCACTTGAACATTTTTGAGCACAGAGAAATATATTTTCTCTCATAAAACTCCTGCTCCGTGCGCAAGCAGACCGCTGCACGCGCTCTCTCTCCCTCGCTCACTCAACCTCTCCACCCTGTGCGCGCCCAGCTTTGCCTCCTTGCTCGCTCAAATTGTCACAGCGTTACAAATGTGCCACAAAACCAACCAATCGGAGAACTCGAGAAGGTCAATTCTGATTGGCTGGTCGTCTCCAATCATATCTTCTATCTGAGATGAGAGAGGGATTTTCGGTTGCCATCAGGCTATTGACGTTCTTATTACACATCCATCGTTGACATTTACACATGCATTTACAGGACATGACAGACTCGAATGAAGAGAATAGTACGATACAGTGTCAGGTGAGTTATACATTTCTAGTTTTCTGATATCACGTTATTGTTTGCAATGCCTTTGACGAAACCTTTTGCAAGTGAATGCTGCACAAGACGCGAGTCTTGTAACCCCTCCCCCGGCCCTGGTGAGTTATACATTTCTAGTTTTCTGATATCACGTTATTGTTTGCAATGCCTTTGACGAAACCTTTTGCAAGTGAATGCTGCACAAGACGCGGGTCTTGTAACCCCTCCCCCGGCCCTGGTGAGAGCTTGGAAATATGATTGGCGGCGATTTCATTTGAACGGGGGGACAGCGCAAAACGAGAAGTATTCGGACCCAAGTACACGGAAGGAATGAGGTATTTGCGGTCTTTGATGTTATATTTGTGCCTCTATCCTGAGCACGCAATGAAACATGTTGAGCACAGAAAATGCTATTGAGCGCGCACTTGAACATTTTTGAGCACAGAGAAATATATTTTCTCTCATAAAACTCCTGCTCCGTGCGCAAGCAGACCGCTGCACGCGCTCTCTCTCCCTCGCTCACTCGACCTCTCCACCCTGTGCGCGCCCAGCTTTGCCTCCCTGCTCGCTCAAATTGTCACAGCGTTACAAATGTGCCACAAAACCAACCAATCGGAGAACTCGAGAAGGTCAATTCTGATTGGCTGGTCGTCTCCAATCATATCTTCTATCTGAGATGAGAGAGGGATTTTCGGTTGCCATCAGGCTATTGACGTTCTTATTACACATCCATCGTTGACATTTACACATGCATTTACAGGACATGACAGACTCGAATGAAGAGAATAGTACGGCACAGTGTCAGGTGAGTTATACATTTCTAGTTTTCTGATATCACGTTATTGTTTGCAATGCCTTTGACGAAACCTTTTATCCGATCGTTTCAGATAAGGGTGAGTTTGCTAGCCGGCAACATAGCTACTGTATATGGGTAGTTTAAGCAAAAAGCTAACAAACCGTAGCCTACATGTACATGAACCCTTCTGAGGTATTGATTACTTGCTGTAAGCATTAGAGGTGGCAGAATGACAAAACATGTTTCTCTCTCTATCACAATTTTGGGTTGACCAGAACCTGGACCAACTTCTGTTTCCTGTTCTACAATGGGCATAGAGCTTGCGTTCATTTTCAACCGGACAACTAAACAGATTAGGCTAGGATACCGGATAAAGTGAGCAACACACGTTAACCATGAACAGCCTATTAATCCGTTCTCCTAATGTTATTTCATCCAACGTTGTGGAATTAGAGAAAAGGGGCTTCTTAACGTGCTTTTGTCCGGGGTGGATGGAGTTAAATATGAGTTAAATATAACATTGGGGCGTGTGATTGTAGTGGGTGGAGGTGGTGAAATGAGGATATCCATTTTGGAGTTCAAGCTAGTATAATATAGTTAACGTTACACAATAATAAGGAAGAGAGCTATTTTTGTGATACATCGCTATTGATATGGATTTAGAGTGCATATTTGAGACTTCTAAACAGTAAACTAAAACGTAACTTATGGGTGAGTGTTTTTAGCAGAGCCATATAATGTCCTTGTGATTCTGTTGATTATTACCTGTCTGTATTATGTTGCAGCTCAGCTGTTTTTGGATTGATGGCAAAGGGAGAGGGACTTAAGTGAGAGTGAAAACACATGGTACGTTTAAAATAGGTCAGCAATTTCCCATCCTCTAGGTTGCTAGATGTATCTAACCCTTTCTCCTGTCTCCCTCTTTCAGCACAAGAACCCCAGGGGGATTCAATGGAGCCTGAAGACCTGCAATGAGACCCTCACCCTGCACCTGAGTCTCAACTCCCAGAGTTTTGCAAGCCTCTCCCTGTTCCTTATTTTGATTAAACAGACGTTAAGCTTCCCAATGGTGTGGTCTTTGTTTTGTGAAAAATATGATTACCTCACATATTTTGTTGCTGTTGTTGTCTTTTGTGATAGTTAAATTGCTCCTGCTGACTTGAGCCAGCCATTCTTTCCTCCTCACTGTGTCAGTGGGGATTTGAATCTTTTGAATTTTGATACATGATATAATTACTTGTCTTTCAAATTTGAAGGAGGGTGAGCAAGCATCTTGTGGAACATTCATCATTAACTCCTCCAAAACATATATGTTATTCAATAATAAATGAATATGTGAATCATAACAGTGATTGACAGCTGATAGGAATAATATGATTGTTAATAGTATTATATTCATTCAGACAAACATCGATGAGACAGTTAATTAAATTACTTATTGCAGCAGTCTTCATAGATTTGGTACCTCTGCTGGTCTAAGAGTGAAACAAACTCATTCAGTTATTGTTCAGTTAAAATTCATTAAATTATGTCTGCCACCTTATATATTTATATGTAAGGCTTTACTGATGTGCCATAATAATATCACCTATGTTATTGAATTAAAATATTAATATTGTGGCTTTCCAAGTTAACATTAATTGATATGACTGCAATTAAATCAGCATATACTGTACAGCAGTGGGTGATGCCACCCCTCAAAATATCCTGCCACCCTCTTGCCACCCCATTAATATTTATCTAGATCCGCCCCTGCAGCTGCTCAAGCTGTCGATCCGCTCCCTCCCCGCCCCCACCACTCTTAACAACGTTAACAGACAGCAGAGCAGTCGGAGCCGGTTGGTCAATCCCCGACCCGTATTGCGCATGCGCAGATCTAAGATCCAGTAGAAATGATAAAAAGTGAAAGTCTGATGCTTATTGTTCTACTAGGCCAAAATAGAGTCAAAGAGTGTATGAGAGTGAGAGTTAATTAATATATTTGGCAGTTTGGAGTAAGTCTGTAGATGTGTTTGTGTGTGTGTGTTTCATGTGTAGGCCTCTCACGATAATTAATTTAGTTGGATAAATGTTCCCGGACATTATTGTGATAAACGATAATATTGTCGGCACCGTTGTATGACCATTTTAGACCACTGACATAATGATAATATATAATAATAATTCAAGTACATCCTTTCAAACTGCTAGTCACATCCTCATGTAAATGGCAATTTATCGAGGTCAGAAAAGTTATCGAGTTTATTTTTATTTATCGTGCGATAAGTCAATGAATTGCTTATCGCGACAGGTCTATGCACACAATAAAACAGTGTAAACATGTGTTTGACTTTCATTAGTGAATGAAACTTTGTGCCCTTTATAGTCTGTGTCCAATATTGTGTCTTTCTATATATTGTATATATTTCCTATATATATGCTAAGGTCCCGCTACTGACACGGAAGCAGTCATTTAGTGCGCATATGTGTAATTAAACCCATGATATCAAAATCTCACTCCAGCCAGGTACCCAAAGTTGGCAACCCTGAGAAAGCAGCTACTGGAAGTGCTATTGGATTGAGGAAAATATCTAGAGATCAAAATGAACCAGATCTAAACTGGACCAACCAGACATCGGAAACCATCACTGAACATTTGAAATGAGAGGGTAAGAAGGCTTAAATTAAGCGTTTTGTTCATGTTGGCCTTTGACACCAGAATCTAATGCTAAGTCCACCATCTACCAAAGTATAAATAAGGTGCTCATTGAATTAACAAGTGATTGAATGTCAGTGGTCCATCATAATGTGGTTCCTTGCTGTGAGAAGGATTTTATTTAATGTTGTTGCTCAGCCAGGGGCCATAACCTCCATACATTGCCATTCATTTGCACATTAGCTGACACCTCCAAGCTAAGGCTAGGATGCTAGCTTGGAGGTGATGACTGAGTGATAATAGTGCAGAGTACTATATCTGTCCTTTAGCTAGTGTTATCCAGAGACTGAGTGTGATCACGAGAGATATGGGATGTATGTGTCAACTGCAGGAAGGCTGGGTATACTTACTTGATGGTGTGCTGATTTGTAGTGGCATAGTGAGGGATGAGGTGATAGATGACATCCAGTCCTTGATTTTCTCCTATTAGGTTTGCTGTAGAAACTTCAAAAAGAACACACATTAACAAACTGATAACATGGCAAATAAAATCTGAGGTTTATTGTGTCATTTTAATTGAAATTAATATGTTTAAAAATATTTATTGATGAGGAAGTTATTCTTAGTCTTATAACCAGTGCTTGAATTGGAATGAAAAAGGTGCCAGTACTCTAAAATCAGCAACTTTTTCAAGTCAATTTTATATATACAGCCCACAAACAAGAATTTGGCTACTATAATGCTGGTGGGTTTGTCTCTTTACTACTGTATATTTTAGAAAGGTTCACTGTACTTAACATTTTTTATGATAGGCAGCGGATATGGCTAAAGCTCAGTAAGGTCAATATTAACTGAAAATATAGCAATCAAAGTCTAGATCTTCTGCTGAAGACACATGAAGCAGAGACCTTTCAGGTGAGAGCCCCTCTGGTGGTGTTCAACATTAATGACAAGGAAACAAAGCTCTGGTCAGAAGCATTTTTTATAAAAAGCTTTAACAAAATTAAGTATTTCTGTACATTTTGAATGCAATCTAACTTTCCAACTCAGAAAACGAAAAACGAAAAAGTGCCAAAAGTCTTCTCACATGGCTGAGCTGCTTTGCAATATACTTCAGCACTGAAGAATACAAATATGTATAAAGTAAAATATGATGCAATCTAACTTTCCAACTCAGAAAAATGATAAAGAGCATGAACAAAGAACATGTAAAAACAAATGCAAAATTTGCACAATCTAAAATGAGAAACTGTAACTGCAAGTAACAAAGTCTGAGCCATGGTAAAGAGTTACATTGAACACCAAGCTGATCAGATAACTCCCTGGTTGGTCTGAAGTCCTTCTATCTCCAGGATCTGTACAAATCGGCACATTATGCCAAAAGTCTTCTCACTGGGTGAGCTGCTTTGCAATATACTTCACATTGTTAGAAAAGGCTCCAGAAGGCCTTGGGGACATCAGTATCAGGGGCTGGAGCTGGACAGGCTCTTTCATCAGCACTTCTCCTTCCCTTTGCCAGCCAGGACCTCACATACTGTTCCGGATTGAACTGTCCTAGTGATGGTCCATTACATTTAATGAAAACCAGGCTGGACAGTCGGCTGACAGAGAGAGCATTCCTTTTTGCAGTAAGGATATCGTTCATGCAGCTGAATGCCCGCTCACACTCACTAGTGGAGACAGTGATGGTTCGGACTGCTTTCAGTAGAGGCTCCATGGCAGCAGGTGTACGGGATGCCCTGGTTTCCTTGTATTAGCGAAAGCCCTGAACAGTCTCTCTTCTGTCCACTTTCAGCACTTCGCACAAACGTAGCACCTCTACGTCCCCATACTGTACGTCTAACTCCTCTTCAGGCCAACTTCCAGGATGGATAACTTTCATGTCCTGGATTAGCTGATTGTCCCGGGCCTCCCGGCCATGTAATGGGATTTCTCTTGTGCTGACATGAGAGGAGATTGTGGAAGTCATTCTGTGTCTCAGATTCTCTACCATACTGCGGAAAAACTGACCTGCATGAATCTGTACAAGCCTGCCATTCTCACGCAGGGCAACACCCTTGAAGGACTTCTCAGCTAGAGCTGTATGAACTGTAGTCATGTGTGGGCCAGGCATGGTGATCATGGATTCAAAAACTCGTATTTCTCGAGTTAAGAGCCTATCTGCTGTAGGCAGTGTCATCTCTCTTTTTTGGAGTTGCCGAGAGAGGTCGCTGAGCTCTGTGAGCGCATCGTACATCAGTCCCAGATTGCTGACAAACGTTGCAGATGTGAGCACATCATCCAGGCCCTTGTACTTTGCTCTGTCTCTGGAATCCCTGCTCGTGTCGTTTGCAGCATTTGTGAAGTGATCATGAAGCACTCGGTAGTTTTCCCAGACTGCTCTGACGCTCCTTTCACTTGAAGCCACCCAGCGGATGGACAAAACACGCCCTATCACCAGGAGACGCTGTCCGACTGCTTGCGCACACTGTGCTAACTGCCTCTGATTTTTGGGGGAGGCATGGAACAAGGAATAGAGTTTGTCAAAAAAGATCTGGAAATGATTGAGCCCTGAGACCTCCTTGACCACATCCCCAACTGCCAGCTCTAGACGATGATTGGAGCAGTGCCACACAAACAGGCTTGGGAATTTACTACACAACTGGGTAGCAACGCCTGTTCTCTTCCCTAGCATGACTGAAGCCCCATCACATGCAAAGAAACGAAACACTGACCTAAAAAGTCCTCGTTAAAATCTCTTCCAAGACACTCCATTAACGCCTTTGTGATGTCATCAGCCGTTGTTCCATCCAACTCGATCAGCTCCCAAAAAAACGTTTCGGGCTCAGCATCAGCTAATGCTGAGCATAGACACACAACAAGCACCGTTTTACCACTAATAGTGGTAGATTCATCGACCAAAACACAGAGTTTTCTTTGGTTTTCTGTAATGTCTTTTGCCATTTTTTTCTTCAGCTCATGAGCTATGTGGTCGATGATTTCGCCACAGGTTTTATTGGAGTGCAAAACCCTGCCCATGTTCAGCCCATTCAGTTTCTGTACATTCAAATCAATTGGCATGTCTGTGAATGGCCGGCTATGTTTGCCAATTTTATATGCCGTTCGAAAAACTCTGATAGTGGTGTCTAATTCAGATTTATGCATAGACTGCACTTGATGTTGAATAGTTTCACGTGAAGCAGATGTAAGGATGTCAGCAGCTTCTACATGGACTTGTGATTCTTTATGTTCTTTGATTTTTTTTCTCAGGCTAGCTTGTTGTTTGCCCTTGTCAACACCGAAATGAGACACTGCACACTCACCCCATTCAGTTGACAGTTTCAGTCCTTGTCCAGTGTGTATTCCCAAAGATTTGACATCTCTGCATATCCGACATCCTAGCTTCTTATCTTTAAGAAGGAGCCATGCATTGGTCTTGCAAAAATATTGCACCTGGTCCGTTGTCCAGCAGTCAGGTGCATCGCTTTGCCCGGTGTTGGTGGTGGCAGTTGCGCCAGCAGCAGCTAACGTTAGAGGCTCTGGAGGAGGCGGCGGAGCTAGTGCTAATGCTAATGCACTAGAACTTGGAGCAGGAGGATCAACCAAAGAAAGCTCCCCATCAGACACAATTTCCAACACAGGCACAGCATTCTCTGTATTTGAAGTTTCTTCCGGCGACAACCGCTGTCTTTTTGCACTTTTATTAATCCACGCTAACATTTTAGAAATGCTAATTTGTGACGTGACTTGCTTTCCTTCTCTCGGGGGCGTGCCTGCTCTGTTCTATCACTCTACATAGCCACCCACTGGGTGGGAGTTGCACTGCATAAACACAACACACGTGCATCTAGGTATGTAAATTGTAAAGCATTAAAACATGGTTTTACTAACAGTTTTCAGTATGTTGTTACTTCGGCATTATTATTATTATTATTATTTTGAAACGTGTATTACTATTAAATCACGGTCAAATAGGTTAATTTTGACATAGTCGTTTCCACCACAGTATTTACATGGAGAAGATAAGCCCCGCCCCCTCTCCAGCACGTTCTGTTTGAATGACAGGAGTAAACAGCTGACAGCCGCTGTGAAACTCCAGCGGTTTAGAGCGATGAGAATGTCCGTTCGGCACCTCATGACGCATCTACTGAGTACCGGGCGGCTGTATATATATATATGGATGTATAATAAGAACGGCGGGAGAGTGTTGAGTACTGGCACGGTGCATGAGTACCGGAGTACCGCCAGCATGCCGGTACTGAGCAAGAAGTGCCGGTACTCCATGGGTCAGAACCAGAAGTGCCGGTACTGCGTACCGGTGAGTACCGGCCCAATTCCAGCACTGCTTATAACGTCGGGTTACGTATGGTAACCCTTGTTATATAAGCACAGCGGAGCCCTCTACTGGACTCTATGGTTACTCCCATGTATCCTATTCATGCACGCATTCCTTCACTGAGACTTCCATAGACATAGCTGGCCCCTGGGCGGGCCTACCTGAATGCATGCGCACCTCCTATTACAAGATAGGGGGCTCCTCACACCATCGCCGGAATCCCAGCCACTTTGGCCTGTAACAGACTGTGGTGGATCCCGCTCTAGCTGCCTGGATAGACTGAATAACACTATCAGACAATCCATCCTGCCTCAGCCTGTCCCCCTCAGGAGCCAAGCCTGGAGGGGGTGGCCCAGAGTGGGTAACGCCCCGATTGCACCTGCCTCCTGGGAGATCACCCCCCAAACTTGGGGGAGCGCCCAGGGCTGGCCCACCTTCATCTGTGTCATCTCTGAGTACCACGGCGCCCCCACGCGATCCGGTGCTACCAAGATGAACGTCTGTTCCCGCCTCACTCTCCCCAGGAGAGGGAGAATGAGACGCAATGGTGGAAAGGCGTAAAGCAGCTTCTTTGGCCATGGCTCGTGTGCAACGCGTCTACCCCCAAAGGCGGGTCGTCGCTCAGAGCCATGGAGCACAACAGTGCGCAGTGGGTGTTGCGCCGGCTGGCGAACAGATCCGCTTCACCACCTCCGGGTGAAGCGCCCCCTCGCCTGGCAGGGGTCCGCCCCTCGGCATGAGGTCGTCCCCCCTGTTCTCCAGACCCGGAATGTGGAGGGCTCTCAGAGATAACACCACCTCTGCAGCCCATAACCACAAGTTCCCCGCTGCCACTGTGGTGCTGTTGTCGCTCCTGACCATTACATGTAGCAATGAGGAGGCGAGGCCGCCTCTTATGCGAGGAGGTGCGCGCGCATTCAGGTAGGCCCGCCCAAGGGCCGGCTACGTCTATGGAAGTCTCAGTGAAGGAATGCGTGCGTGAATAGGATACATGGGAGTACCCATAGTGTCCAGTAGAGGGTGGAGCCTGTGAGAGATATAACTCATCATCAGTTGGACCAAAGCGCATAAAACTAAAGCCCGCTAATGTGATTGGCCAATAATGCTTGGACTAAAAACGGGAACAAGATTGCTTCTGATACTTAAATCTTGTGTCATTACTATAGATATGTCACAATCCTGGTGTTGGACTTTTTGGGTTTCCTGTTATATTTTGTAGAACCCTCTACTTTTTTTGTTTAAATTCCTGTCTTTGTGTTTTTCTGCCTTTTGTGATTGTCTGCCCCGCCCTGATTCTTTCCACCTGTGTGTTTTTACCTTTTTGAACCTTTTCTGACCTTTTTGTGTTGCCTACCTTTCACAGCTGTGTCTTGTTTTGTAATAAGTATTGTGAGTACACAGTACTGTATATGCCTGGCTTTACCAGTGTTCTCTGGCAACATCAGGTAAAACAGACGACAGCCTGGCATGCGTCCCTAGCTGACCCTCATTTTGCTACTTTGTTCTTCTTGCCATCCCAGTTTAGTCCATCTTTAGTTTAGGTGCTTTGTATTATTTTGCCTGGTCCTTTGGTTTTTAAATCTCGCTTTTTGTTTGTTATACCTGCCTCCCTTTTGTTAATGCATTTTCTTCTGACCTCCTGCTCAAAGCGTGGCAGTCCTTAGATTGTGAATAATGTGATAGAAAAGTCTAACTTTAAAGTCACTTTTACCAATCAATCAGATTTCCTTCTAAACGTAACACATAAAATCAAATAACACATTTACTGGCTCTTTCCACGTTTCTTGCTTTCATTGTTGCTCATAATGTAAAGATAATGTCCAAAGAGATTCAAGCAGAAAAATCTGATAAATAATGGAGCATTTGCAAGTTATCACATCAGTTTGTATGATTGGTTTGCTGCTTTACTAACATATAGTGGGTGAAAGCTATTCATACTTATGTCTCTGATAACTTACCACACAATTGTGTGATGTTAGTGTCTGGGAAAATAGTCTGGGAAGCTGAAATTAATGAGACAGTGAAGGATGATCTGTAGAGTAAAGTGTGCTGAGTGAAGGTGAACCATAACACATTTTCGTACCTGATGAACAGAACACCTGGATGACCCAGAGGCACGCTGCCGCCCTGTTTGCGTGCTGGTCATTTTTTCTGAGCAGATTCAGAGTCAGCAGCACAGCTCCTGCCTCATCTGCCTTCATACCGATTCGGCGGTCTGTGCAGACACAAATATAAAATTATTCATGTACAGTATGTGTAGATTGCATGTCCAGCTGAAGAGTTCAGAACCAGCTAACAATTTAATGTATTTTATAATCAATATTCATTATTCCTACTGATCCATCCCTGTGATTGGCTCTGTTGGCTTACACACAAAACAAATGTATTGCTCACCTCAAAAGGTTTTAAACTCCTAGTTTTGATGTTACATTATGTTGCTTACCATTTATTTGGAGTGGGAAGAGGAGAAAGTCGCATAATTATGTTATGTCTAGGTTCCCCTATTACACTAAAGGTGTCTAAATCATGCAATTTGTGTGCACAAATAGTTGGAATCTTTATAATAAGCACATTACTAGAGATGTTTAAGGACAAAGTCAACATTGTGTGGTGTACATCATCTGAACTCTTGGAGCCTCAGCTCAGCACTGTATGTCAAGTTGTTTTAATCATAAATCAGATAAATTAGTAAGGACAAATGGCCAAATATCCCTTCAGCAAATATTGTTTGGACAATACCTTGCGGAAGACAATGGAAAGGCATGCTGTGATTTGGGATCAATAAAGTTTTGGGGCATGGGTGGCGAGCACTTCCGTTCTGAAAATACCATATCCTTATTGTCAATATAAGTAATCCTCTGAATGATCTTACTCAGTAGTTTGTGGTTGTAAAGTTTCACGAGGCTGTGAAAATCCGAACACTCAAAACAGCTTTTCTTATTCAGTGAAGTCAAGTTTCACACCAATTAAATGACCACTAGTCCTATGCGTATTGACATAATTCCAATATACAATACGGCTCATTGGATCCACATGGATATCAACTTTCCATTCATTTACCTTTTCATCCATTCTCACCTCTCTGTCCAACTTTAGCCAGCAGGTGCAGCAGTGGCAGCAGGAGGGTGTAGTTGGGACTGAAGCTGCGGGCAGTGGTGACCAGTGCGCTGAGCAAGGCCTCGCTGCCACCCTTACTGATCATATAGTGGATACGACGATCCGTACCTGAACACAGAGAGAGATACTAGAGATACTAGAGCTCAAAACAGCTGAAGTTGGCTTGAAGTGAAGGACGGAGGTCGGACTTCTGAAAGAGTCTGATGGATTTAAATGTTTTCGACGTGTTGATTCTCCTAACCTGGTCCTTCCCACCCATTCCATTACCTGCAGGTCATTCCTCCCTGCTTCATTGACTATTGATTTATTGAATTGCAGTCAAGGGGTTAGAACTAAACTTACCAGCAGATAGAAGTTCATCCAGGACATTGAGAATATGTAAGGTACTCTCCACATCCCCTGCATTCTGTAGACAAGAGAACAAAGTAAGAAAGCATATGAAAACTAACCCTAAATAACTATTAAACAATAAACCAAAAACCTATGGGAAAAAGGCTTTGATGGAAAATGTGAAGAAATAAGAAAACACAAAAGCCTGTTATCAGATAACAAACACAGAAACCAACATGACCCTACACCACTTCAGGAATACTTTGAACAGTGGCGAGCCGTCAGGGCCCTCTAGGCCCTCTCTGAGGCCTAAGATATTCTACAAAATAATATTTAAAAACATTAAAAAATATATATATTTTTTTTTTAGTTATATTTTTCATTAGTTTTACCAAAATAACTTGATTTAATTGTATTTAAAATAACATTTCCAAAGAAATAAATCCTTCGAATCTGCCTATTCAGTTTCTGTTGGAATGTGGAGGGTTAAATGAAAGAAGCTCCTTTAGCCGTCTCTGCGAGTTACTGTGAAGACAGTAACAGGTGGTCCTGCTATGAATTCACAGAGGGCCTGCTATAGTAGCTGAACGAGAGAGTAATGTCAACTGACAGTACAATTGACCAATCATATATTCCCTCTAAATGGGTGGGCTTTCTTATCGCGGACTTTATGATAAGTTCCGCCCGCTGTGAAGTGTATGCATGTGTTATAATAACAACGGGTCAAGCTAGGCGGAAGTAGCTAATTAGCATAAGCTTGTTCATGATGTCATCACTATCACTGACGTGACGTCAGTGATAGTGATGACATCGTTTCGAAAATTTTAACTGGGTCATGTTCAAGATTGAGTTACAATGATAAACTGGAGTGGCAAAGGATCAGCTGCATGAACCCGCCATCAAGTGTTTCATCCAAAAAGACAGGAGGATGGACTTTGTGTTTAAGTCATTTGATCCCAGGTTCCCAGGGCGGGGGGTCTCCCCCCCCCCCCCTCCCCCTCTCTCTCTCTCTCTCCCCCCCCTCTCCCTCCCCCTCTCTCTCTTTCTCACCCCCCCCCTCTCTCTCTCTGCCCACTCGCGGACCGGGTGAGAACAACAAAGCACCCCCTCCCCCCACCGCAGGACCGGACATAGATGAACAGAAATACCTCCAGCCTGATGACATCAATCAAATAACCAACACAAATGGACTTCATATATTTCACCTAAACACAAACAGCCTGAGACACAAACTGGCTGAAATCAGGCAATTATTCATTAACGGTAAGGCAAACATATTATGCTTCTCAGAAACAAAACTTGACAATTCTGTGACAGACCCAGAAATAGAAATTGAGAACTACTCAGTAGTCAGAAATGACAGGAACATGTATGGAGGTGGTGTCTGCATGTACATACATAAAGACACCAAATTCATTATCCGTACTAACCTGAATCACGAGACCTTTGAAACTGTATGGGTTGAAATTATTTTTGAACGGGCTAAATCAGTATTAGTCGGCACAATCTACAGACCGCCAGAACAGAGTGGCTTTTATGATACACTGGATGGGTGTTTGGCTGGAGTTGGGGGTGTAGAAACAATTCTTATTGGAGACTGGAACACGGAATGCAACGAAAAGATGCACCCATCTTCAAGTCCTTCAGTAGGTTTTGTGATCTGCACGGCTTCAGCCAGCTAATCACCCAACCCACCCGGGTATGTGAATCAGCACAGACTACCATTGATCTCATTCTGACCTCTGACAGGTCCGGGATCTCCAGTAAAGGGGTTATAGCATGCAGGTTAAGCGATCATTATATGATATTCTGTACCCGCAAAAAGCTAAAACAAAAGGCCGGCTGTCACAAAACAGTCACATCTAGAGACCTCAAAACCTACTCTAGCGAGGCCTTTAACCTAGAACTGGAGAGTCTGGACTGGTCAGAGGAGCTCAGTGGTACACTGGTTGAAGAAACATGGCTTGGTTTCAAAACCAAATTCTCAACAGTACTAAACGACATGGCCCCCCTAAGAACCACCAGGGTAAAAAATCGCGCTGAGCCGTGGATGCACTCCGAAATATTGACCGCTATGAAAACCAGAGACAAAAAATGCTCTGAGTTTCGTAAAAGTCAGTCAAAGCTTACCAAAAGCTCGAGCAGTGAACTCCAAGCCCACGTGACTGAACTCAAACTGCAAAGAAACAGACTAAGAAATGACGTAACCTCCATGATCAAAACTGCAAAAAAATAATTTCATCAATAACAAAACTGAGGAAAACAAAAATAAACCCTGTGAACTTTGGAAATTACTCAATAATCTAGGCTGCAGTAAAAAACTTAAAACCAGATTTTCAAACATAAACATAAAGACAGATAACACGCTCATCACAGACAAGCTGGATGTGGCCAATTACTTAAACATTTTCTTCACAAACGCCACAACACTGGTAAATAAACTAACCTCCCACTCAGGGCATTTTGGGGTAGAACACATCCTGGCCTACTACAATAACCTAGGGGTCCGCAAAGATGATTTCAAACTAGTAATGGTAACAACAGCTGAGGTACACAAAAAACTGAGCGCCCTCCAACCTAACAAGGCCACTGGCCATGACAATATCCCCTCCAAATTCCTCAGAGACTCAGCAGCCGCCATCACCCCAGTCATCACACACATAATAAACCTCTCCATAAAACAGGGACACGTACCCAAACACTTCAACATTGCGAGAGTAACCCCCCTGCACAAAAAGGGCAGCAAATTGGACCCAGGCAACTACCGCCCTGTTTCTATTCTTACCTCCATCTCGAAAGTCATGGAAAAAACTAGTATACGAACAGGTCGAAAAGTACCTCACGGAAAAAAATCTAATTTACGAATTCCAATCTGGCTTCAGAACATCCCACTCCACTGACACATGCCTTCTTTATTTGAACGACCACATCAAACAAGAGGTGGACGCGGGCCAATACTGCGGCATGGTCATGCTGGACCTACAAAAGGCCTTCGACACTGTCAATCACTCCATTCTGATTGACAAGCTAAAAGCAATTGGTTTTGATAGTCTATCAGTGAGCTGGATGCAATCCTACCTGGAGGGGAGAGAACAGATGGTGGAGGTAAACGGTACTCTACCCCCCCCCCTCCCAGTGAGCTGTGGTGTTCCACAAGGAAGCATACTAGGACCGTTACTGTTTCTAATTTATGCAAACGACATGTTTGTGACTGCAACTTGTTCCTGTTCGCGGACGACTCAGCCCTGCTGGTCTCTGACAGGAACAGGTTGCAGGTTGAAAAAACCCTCAGCTCGGAACTCGGCAGAATCTGCACCTGGCTCGCCGATAACAACCTATCATTACACCTGGGTAAAACAGAGTCCATTCTCTTCGGTTCAAAAAACAAGATACACTACACCACTAAGGTACCCATGTACATGTCAAAATACTTCCCAAAGGTCAGTGAATACCACGACCACAACACCAGAGGGAGCTCCACAAATCATGTTAAACCCAGATTTGGCTCAAACAAGGGACGAAACATGTTTCGCAATTATGCCACAACAATGTGGAACGCCCTACCCACAGCTGTAAAGGAATGTGAATCTCTACCCACCTTCAAAACCTCTCTAAAAGATCACCTACGGGAGACTGCAATTCGAAACTGGCCCCTGTAAATGTCCAAACCCAACCCCCTACAATATATATACTCTCTTTTTAGACAATTTTTATACTCACAAACAGTACTGTATATTTGTAGATCTGGTATGTCATAAATGTCTAGATCAGGGGTCTCCAACCTTTCTTCATCTGAGAGCTACTTTGAAAAAATGAAAGTGGCCAAGAGCTACTTGCATCACATCGCTTACATTTATTCACATAGCACTCATCAGTTGAATTAAGCTATACTTTTGTAGACGTGTGAAATTGCAATACCTAAAGCTTATCACAAATCTTAACTTCACATGAAGGTCCAAGAAAACGAAAATGTCTCACATATTATTATAGCCCACATAGTAAGTACATCACTGAAAATGCACATAAATGTCCTTAATCACCACCTTACAAGCATCTTATGGCACATGTGTAAAATAAGTGCATTCACTCTTTTGTACAGTCAGTGAGATGAATGGCGCTGCATGGAGTCCACCATACAGGTGTATGTGTTGTGCACCGTCAAAAGTGCTAGTCAATCATGTTTCATGTTTATTTTGTATTGTTTTTTACTTCCTGTTTTGTTTTTGTCACGTCTCATTTCAGGTCCCTTGACTCCCTTTCCTCATGTGTTCTCCCGTCCTCATCAGTATCAGCCCCGCCCCTGATTGTGTTCACCTGTGTCTTGTTGTTGAGTGTTTAAATTCCCCAGTCTCCCAGCGTTCAGTGTCAGTTCGTCTTGTCCCCATGACAGAGCTATGCTCTTCAGCTCGCTTTGATTCAAAGCCTATGTTGGCTCCTGAAACTTATTATAAGTTTAGTTCCTCACGTTGTGAGTTTTTTTCTATTTTGCCTTGCTCAAACCTTTTTTGCCATCTCTTAAGAGTGATCTTCTTTTGTTACCTTTTTTGTGCAAATAAAGTATCTTAATTGTACTTTACCTTTGGCTTCCGGGTCGTGCATTTGAGTCCTTAACCTTGTGTAACCAAGTTCATAACAGTATGCTGGAGTGTACCCACTTAGGTTCGCTCTAATGGAGTCATTTAAATGTTCATCAGTCAGCCTTGTTCTGTATTTAGATTTCATGACATTCATGTCAGAGAAAGCTGCTTCACAAAGGCAATTGGAACCAAATAAAGCAGACATTTGCAGTGCTGCTTGGTGAATGTTCTTATAGTTTTCTGGGTCTACAAGGCTCCAGAAATTGTGTGAGTTTTGCTGAGACTTAAGCTAAACATGATTTTGGATATGTATAACCTCCATCTCCACAGGATTGACACTGAACAGTTCAACCATCTTTTTCTTCTTCTTCATCTTGACATTAAATTATAAACCATAATAAATCAATTGTATAGGTCTAGCCTCCCTATATATGTGTGTGAAATTGTTCCATCCTCAAAAACAAAAAACTAATGCTTCTGCAGTCTAGCTGCAGCTTCT